GGAACGAGGCGACAGTGTTGCCGGAAGAGTCTGTCACCTTGTAGTACCGCACGTCAGGATTCCACGTCTGGAGAGGGCGGGTGGGATGAGCGAGTCAGGGATGGCAAGACTTTCAAGTCGCCTTGAAGCTCACAACAGCGGAGTGCTGTTCTTTCAATAGCACTACTGACAAGCATGGGCAGTGGGCCACACGACAGAGTACAGGTGCTTCCTAGCCACCACCCACTAGCAACCAACCAGCCAGCAGCCCCAGGAACCTCATTCTTACCGGTGCCTCCCCATCAGCGGGCTGGAAGGAGACATCAAAGAGGCGCGAGGCGAGCTTGAAGAGCCCGTCGATGACAACAGGGAAGGAGAAGTACGGCCGCAGCTCCTCCTGTGTCAGCTCGTACCGCGCCTCCCTCAGCCGCTCCCCCCAGAACGTCACGTCCCACTGCCTCAGGTCGTCTGCTTCCTCCGCGCCCTGCTCCTTGGCGAACGCCTTCAGCTCCTCGTGCTCTGGAGTGGGGGGAAGGGAGAGCGAAAAGGGGACGTTATGAATTGAACAAGAGAAGACTCCTTCCCTCAGCCGCTCCCCCCCCAGCAAATCCACGTTTCACTGACAATCATGCCTCTGCTGCAAACTTAAAAACTAATGTCGAGAATTTGAAATTCTAATTTGCCAACAGGGGCCATTCTAGCATGCCTCTGCAAGACTTCAGCCTGCATGTGGCTCACCTTTGACGGAGATGTCAAAGGCTGCGTCCCGGAGGTCCTCCACCAGCTTGTGCGCGCTCTTTATGGTCGCCATGCGCCACTGCATCGGCACCTGCTCACATGCACCGGGGAGTGGAATACAGCGGTTGGCGAGATGGCATGACATACACACTCAAGACTACCAATGCTGCAAGCACCCTGGCCATGCTCAACTGCAGTTGGGTTGAAACAAGTGAGCATGTCGCACGAAGGGAAGAAAACGGCGGCGGTGGGCATGCCACATGTGTGACAGCATGTGTGACAGCATGTGCCAGCATCATTCAACCGTGTGTTTGCCTCACCCGACCTCTCTCTGTCTCACCTCGGCGTGGGACTTAAAGCCCAGCAGCTTGGCCTTCTCCTGCTTCAGCTGCAGAATGCGCGTGATCACAGGGGTGTTATCGATGTCGCCCTCTGAAGCGCGGGTTACAAAGGCGCGATACACTTCTTCCCTCAAGCCCCGGTTGCGGCAGTGCTGCAGGGGGAGGTGGATGGAGGAGGCGGGAGACAGAACCATGAGACACACGCATGAGAAGCATGACATAAACAGCGGATGATAAATGGTAGTAACCCAGATGAGAGTCACATAATACAAGAGAAAAAGGACAGGGCGCCATGGACAGTGGTGTTCCAGACCTGTGTGAGGCACGGTGTGCAAACATACCTGCATGAGAGGCAGGTAGGAGGGCATGTCGAGAGTGAAGGCCCACGGCCCATTCTCTGCTGTGGCTCCCTCGTGACCCTGTATGCTCATCGCCATGGTGATGAGAGAAATGTTGCATCGGTGGAAGGCAGGGGCGGGAATGGATGTGAAACGCAGTAAAAGAGACTATACAAGGATATGGAGGAGCAGGGGCCGATGGGGAAGATGTGAATAACATTAGCGGCCAGCAGCAGCAGCTTTCACGCACCTTGCCAACGGCAGCCACGCACCTTGCCAACGGCAGCCTGAGCGGCCAAGCCCAGCGCGGAGGGCGGCAGGCCCGCCACGTCAGCAGGATCAGTGACAATGCGCACGAAGCGTTTGGTGGCATCGAGCACGTTGTTCTGGAACTTGGTTCTCAGCTGCGCCAGCTCCTGCTGTATCTCGTTGAAGCGAGTCTTGGCCTCGCCCTCCAGTGCCACTCCGCTGGTCTTGGCGGATATGAGCTCGGCTGCACGGCAGAGAGGTGGAGGAGCGGCATTTGATGTGAGAGAGGGAAGCGAGTCGCAGGTGCAATGAAAAAGGGTGGATAACTTGACAGGGTGTGCATGAATGGCGGGATAAAGTCGTTATGCTGTGCCCAGGGGTCGCACGCCTAGGCACAACGACTTAATCCTCCTGCATAACCACGAAGTACAGAGCGACTTTTACACACCAGCACCCTTGCACGAACCCACGCCGACCCACCATGCCAGCACACACACACCGACTCACACTCAACAACGCGCTTCTGTGCCACGCTCAAACTCGCCCATGCCGCCTCATCGGCCCTGGTCGCGACGAACGCGTCGTAGAGCGGGCGGCTCTGCCCCAGGCGCAGCGACACACAGTGACCCACACGTTCCAACCCACTCACACTAGCCCACACACCCCAATTCACACTCGACGACGCGCTTCTGGGCGACGCTCAGACTCTCCCACAGCGCCTTGTCCGCCCTGATTGCCACAAACGCGTCGTAGAGCGGGCGGCTCTGCGCCAGGCGCAGCGAGAGCTTGACGACGTCCGGCTGCACCTCCTCGAACGCCGCCCGCAGCTCGTCCGAGTTGCATGCACCACCCCGCACACCCCGACTCACACGCACAAGCAACAAACACCAGCCCACACACACCCACTCACACTCGACAACGCGTTTCTGGGCCACGCTGAGGCTGTCCCACAGCTGCTGGTTCCCCCTAATAGCCACAAACGCGTCGTAGAGCGGGCGGCTCTGCCCCAGGCGCAGCGAGAGCTTGACGACGTCGGGCTGCACCTCCTCGAACGCCGCGCGCAGCTCGTCCGAGTTCTTCACGGCGTTCAGGTGGTTCACCGCGCCCCACGGGATGCTCAGCCGGTCGCCGATTCGCTCCACGGGCTCCACGAGGCCCGCCCACGTGGGCTGCACGTTCTTCTCGAGATTGTCCAGCTGCTCCTCCTGTGGGTGTGGTGGTGAGTGTTGGAATGTGCGAAGCAATGAATTCAATTTGGCATCGAATAATGTGGAACTTTGAATAAACTTTTGTAGATTCTGGAGACGATGACGCATGGAATCACTCGAGGCTGAAACGTCTCTAAGTGGACTGCCATTTCCTCTGCGAATAGAATTGGCAGAAATTTGATTTCCAAGGTTCGCATGAAGTATGTGAAACTCCCCCAAACAAATACGCTCGGAGATTAAATACATTAGACACTGGGGGCTCATACGCCTGAGAAATCGACGGCTCAGTTTCTAAAATCCTGAAATTCGAGTGCTCAATCACTTAGATAAACCATTCGTGAGAAACTGGGTGCTCAGACACTGAATTTCTGAGGAATTGGGTTATCAGACTCTACATTCCTGAAAGCTGGGTGCTCGAGCACTTGATTCTTTTACACATTGAGTGCCCAGACTGTAATTCCTTAGACCTCGGGTGCTCAGTTTCTGAAATCTGTAGACATTGGTTGCTCAGACACTTGAAGGTTTGGAGATTGAGTAAGCAGATACCAGACTTACGAGACATTGTGTGCTCTGACTTTCGCTCCCTTGACAGCCCGTGGGCAGAGACACTATAATCCTGAAACGTTGCGTGGCTCTCTCTCTCTGTCTCTCTCGCTACGTACCACTTCCTTGAGAATGGCGCGCATGCCCGGCACCACGTGCTTGGGCTCGATCTTGTCGAACAGCGGAATCGACGCGAGATTCAGCGACAGAAGCGGGTTCTCCTTCACGTCCGCTGCGGCCTCCGTGGTCACCGCTGCAGCAGCCATGGTCACTGACGGTCTTGCCCTTGATAAGAAGAGCGACGCGCGTCCTGAATTGATAGCGGACAGATAATTCGGTTTCGCGACAAGGCGGTTCGCGCAGAGAGAGGAGGGAGTCGGCAGCAAGCAGATCCCGACCGTCCGATTGCTGGCCTTGCCGGAGAGCTCGGCTCGCAGTGCGCTAGGAGAACTCTTCAGCGCTGAGGGGACGCTAGAGGAGCACAGAGGCATGGAGAGAGACAGGGCCATAAGCAGTCCGATCTTAGCTCGTGGCGAACGGCTGTGTGCGAGTAACTTGGAGCTTGAGATTGCGAGGTTCAGCATGGCGTGAAGAAACGGCTGCCAGAATTCAATTTCAACATCTGAGATTGGAGCGGAACCGAGCGCAGAAGCAAAACGGGGAATCTGGCCAGAAGGAAGGGTGGAGCGCTGAAGTTGGCGGGGAGGGGAAATGGTCGCGCAAAGGGGGGATCTCCTCGGAGTGCCACGCGGCTGAAAGAAGCTGCGCCACGCGAACAGTCTTTTGCGGGGTTGACCAATCAAAGCAGGTTCGTCTCCTCAATTGAACCAAGATGGGTTTCGGTGAACAAGATTCAGCAATACCTGCTACCAGCCTCATGTAGAGAGACATGAAATAATTTACAATACATGATATATTCAACCTCACCTGATAAAAGCAGAAGTCTGAGAAACAACTTTCAGTCTTATTTGCATCTTATAGAGATATACATATTGGTTCGCTCATGCTACCAATTGTTCCAGACTATGTCCCGTATCTGGAATGGACATGAAGCATTTATTACACAAAACAGGGTAGTAGTCAGGCTGCTGGAGAAAATCGCCTCCACTACTACTGGGACTGGGAGGACTGGTTGCTGGACGCACGGGGGGGTATTTGCCCACTCCACGGAGGCGACTAGCTGCTTGAGGCACGAAGTCATTATCCCGGCCATTGAAGGCTATGGAGCGAAAATGGGAAAGCATTGCTGCCAAACAACACCAAATGGCTTGCAAAGAAAACCATAACCACAACAACGATCCTGAAAGACATGTCGGTGCTGGGATTCGAGCCCAGGTCTCCACGGCCACAACGTGGGATTCTAACCACTAAACTACACCGACTTGAAGACTTCTCTCTTTATTTAATTCTATTATAAATACGCTCAGTGGCACTCAGCAATATGAGCGTGCACGAGTAGATCCACATCGCGTTAGCGCCAGACATGCCTTATCCTGGGCGTGCATGAAACATACATCCTCACCTAATCTAGACTTTCAATAGATTCCACTCTACACGAGTAAGGCCTAGCAGCAGGAAGCCGGAAGGCCGAGGTGCGTGGTGGCATGGACTGGGGCAATGTGACGGGCGAGGAGCTGCTCGACGCGCTGCGGGAGGTCGAGTGGTCCACGCCGCCTCGCCCGCTCGCGGAGTTCGTGCAGCGCTTCTCCGCGCCCAAGAACGCCAGCAAGTGGCGCAGCCGCTTAAAGTGCAACGCGTACTAGTGAGCGCTCGCTGTTGCCCCATAACGCGAATTCGTTACTCCTCTTGGCTAGTTTCCTCTGTCGTGGTCGGGTAGGTGTCTCACCCTTAGGTTTGGCGATTTTCGAAAGCCGTGCGACGATCGCGATGAGTTTTCGCGAATGTTGAGCTGTGGTGCCGATCGATCCTTAGGAAGCAGTGGGACGGTCCGATTTATGGAGGAATACTCTTGTTGACATTCGAGTCGCCTCGAAAGCTTCTGCTCGCCGTCCTCCTGTCAATTAACTTTGCCGTGAGGCTCGGCTTATGGGCTCGAACGTGCCACTCGTGCGTGAAGTGAGCCGATTTTTTAGGTGCCTCAACGATCGACCGTCACAATGATCCCAATCCAATGCCCTGCGCGACCCGCTTTGAGTCATCGCAACTCGTCTAACGTGCCTATCCCTGATTTCTCTCGTTCCCTGCTTTCCGTTTTTTTTTTTTTTTTTTTTTTCTCGCCCCCCTGTGTTGTCTTCGTGCGGGTGGCGCAGCTATCGCACCAACTACTACATCCTTGTCTGCTTCATCAACGGTACGCGCAAATCCCTCGCAAAGCGTCTAACGGCATTACCGCCCGGAAATCACAAAAAAAAAAAAAAAAAAAAAAAAAAAAAAAAAAAAAAAAAAAAAAAAAAAAAAAAAGAAGTTGGGCGAGTGAAGAACAATATCTTTTCGCCTCTTGTGCCTCCTATTCCTCCCTTTCCCTTCCGGCCCCCTGCTCTCCCCTTCCACCCCACCCTCTCCCCTCCCCCCTCTCCCCCCCCACTTCCCCCCTCCCTTTGCCCATCCGCGGCCAGCCTGCTGTTTCGCCCGTAACCCGCTCGCGCTGTTCGCTGTGCTCTTCGCCGCCGTCGCCTTCGCGAGCCTCAACGACAGGTCAGTCGCGCTTGCTGCCACGGCCGTGTGGCTAGGCTCGACTAGCATCCCCATTTCAGCTCCCTCTTCTCTGACCCCTCGTCGCTCTCTCTGCCCACCATTCTCCCCCCCTTCCCATCTCTGTCTCCACTCGTTCCCACCCCTTCCCCTCCCCTCCCCTCCGCCTCTCCCACCCCTCCATCCTCTTCCCACTCTTCTCCCCGTGCCCTACCATTCTCCACCGTCCACAATTCCTTTCACTCCTTGTTGGAGCTTTTTCCTTGGTTGCCCTCTCCCCATCTCCATTCCCCTTCGTCTTTCCTCATCACCTCCTCCCCCCATCTCCCCTCCTCTCTCCCACACTCCCCATCCCCCTCCTCTCCTCCCCCTTCCCCATCTCCCCATCATCTCCCATTTCCCCCTCCCGCACCCCGCAGCTTCGCGCTGTCACTCAGCGAGCGCCTGACAAGGGCCATTAGAAAGATCTCCCCGCCTCTGGCGGCCAAGCTGCGACCACCGCAACAGTAAGCCATCCATTCTCCACCCGGACGCGCCCACGCTGCTCGCCACGCTCCCACGCTGCTTCCCACGCGCCCATGCTGCTCGCCCTCCAGGCTCTCATGGCTTTGCTGCCGGCTCTTTCACCTCCTGCCCGCCTTGCCCCCATGTGTCACCCCGTCTCCCCCATGTCGTCCGCTATCTCCCCGTCTCATCCCCTGTTTCCTTCCCTCTCTCCCCCATCTCCTCGCCTCTCTCCCCCATCTCCTCCCCCCTCTCCCTCCCCTATTTCTTCCCCCATTCTCTTCCCCTTCTCTGTCCTCTTCCATCTTCCCCCCCCCCCCCCCCCCCCCCCCCCCCCCCCCCAACGCTCTTTTCCGTCCGCCCAAATTACCTGCCGCCCTGTTGCATGCCCGCTTGCCCCCCTGTGGGGTCGCAATGCTTCCTCTCTCTCTCCGGGTGCAGGCGAGCGGGAGTGAGGGGGCGGCCGTTGAGAGGCGCCGTGTACATATGTGGGCAGGACAGACGAGTCGCGCTCTTCCTGCTGCTCTTCTGTACGTGCCTTGCCATGCACTCCGTGCCGTGCTTTGCCATGCTGTGCCATGCCATGTCGTGCCGTGTCATGCCATGCACATGCTGTGATGTTATGGTGTTTTGAGACGTCTCAAAACACTTCTTCATGCACATGCTGTGATGTTATGGTTCGATTTGTCATGCTATGCAATGGTTCTAGTTCCTTCAGCTCCTGTATATTTGGCATGTATGCTTCACTGCTCCTGCTCATACTCTCCCTCTCCCACCCTAACCATCACTCTCACCCTCTCATCTCCCACTCTCAACCTCTCGTCACGCACTCACCCTCTCAGCTCCCACTCTCAACCTCTCACACACTCACCCTCTCATCTCCCACTCTCCACAAACTTCGTATTCCTCCCTACATCCTTCTTCCTCCCTAAATCCTTCTTCCTCCCTACATCCTTCTTCCTCCCCACATCCCTCCTACGCGCCACGTGCGTCATCCCCCCCACCTTACCGTTCGGTACCACCTCACCTCCTCTCGTTCCCACACCTGCTGCTGCCGGCAGTGAGTGCATGGCTGAACTATGTCTCAAGAGCCTACGTCACCTTTGCCGTTGCCTTCACGTCAAGTGTTCTATGTGAGTCAACCCAGTACACATGCTCCCTTCACTGCCTTACAACCCTCAGGCACATAATCATCTGCAGGACTTTGAGTGTCATCTGATTCGTTTCCTTTGTACCACATTTCGTAACCAGGGAGTCTTTGTTTGTAAATGTTTGTTCTATCCCCATACTTGTCTTTGTCAACCCATCCCCCATCCTACACCCACCCCGTCCGCCTGTGCTGCTCACGCATGTACCAGTGGTGGTGGTGCATGCTACCTTCAGGTCCCCCAATCTTAAAGCCCGGCTAAACTCGTACAGAGAGGAGTTCAGGGCTGTGTGGCGGGGCTACAGTGATGCGCCTTGATACAAACACAACGCTACAACACAACAATTTAATCGAAACACTCTAGTGACATTGCTTGGTTCAAGAATTTAGCATTTTAGTATGTTAGCTTTTATCATTTGGAGGTGGAATTGTGCAGAACAACATTGGCTTATGCAGGCACCAGTACGACTTAAACAATAAGGTAGTCTTGAAACAAAGTACAGTAGCATAGTAAATACCTTTTCCTACACATTATAATGAGTGCAGTGGTGAACGCCTACCGGGCCCCACTTTTAGAACAAAAGGGTGAGCAAATCCAGCTGCGGGTGGTGCTGCCACACTTGATGTGATGCCACGTGTCTTTTGAGACGTCTCAAAAGTGGACTGGTGAACGCCTACCGGGCCCCGCTTTTAGGAGAACGAAAGGGTAAGCGAATCCTGTTGCGGGCAGTGCTGCCACACCTGAGGCCTCAGGTGTGTCGTGAGAAAGATGCGGATGGGGGGAGATTTGGGAGATGCAAATGGGGGGAGATGCATTTGGATCTAAGGTGACGCGGAGGCATGGGGAAAGAAACCGAGCATGCAACGGCGGGGAGAGTTGCTGAAAGCAAGAGGCGGAGAGGAGAGGTTGGTGGGAAGGTGGGGTAGAGCGTACCTTTACCCCTGCCAGCTCCAGCAGTTTCCTAGAAGCAGCGTAAGCAATGTCCTTGGGGTTGCGAGTGGGTGGCTTGTCTGAGAAGAAAATGACCTCTTTGATCCCCGCCTGCTCACACATGCATGCCCATGCACACACATGCATAGCATGCACACATGCATGTACACACATCAGAGGGCAAGGCTGACTGTTGCTGCTGGGGCGACAGGAGGCACATGGAGGCCGAAACATGGCAGGGAGGCAGGGTGCGAAGAGTGCCGGTAGAGTTGGCACATGGAGGGGGACGCTCATACGCTGCACCGCACGCTCACACGCTGCAGTGCCCGCTCAGACGCTGCACCGCCCACTCACACTCTGCACCGCCCGCTCATACACTGGTGGCACATGGAGGTGCAGGGAGAGGGACGCACCTGGATGATGACTTTAGCGCAGTCGTTGCATGGGAACATGGTCACGTAGATGCGCTGCCATGCCATGCCATGCCATGCCATGCCATGCCATGCCATGCACACATGGAAAGAAGAGGCACACATGGAGGGGACTATCAGGCATGGCAGGTAGCATCAGAAGGATAGTCCCCTAGCTGACAGGCGCACAATGTGATAGTCCCCTAGCTGACAGGCGCACAATGTGATAGTCCCCTAGCTGACAGGCGCACAATGTGATAGTCCCCTAGCTGACAGGCGCACAATGTGATAGTCCCCTAGCTGACAGGCGCACAATGTGATAGTCCCCTAGCTGACAGGCGCACAATGTGATAGTCCCCTAGCTGACAGGCGCACAATGTGATAGTCCCCTAGCTGACAGGCGCACAATGTGATAGTCCCCTAGCTGACAGGCGCACAATGTGATAGTCCCCTAGCTGACAGGCGCACAATGTGATAGTCCCCTAGCTGACAGGCGCACAATGTGATAGTCCCCTAGCTGACAGGCGCACAATGTGATAGTCCCCTAGCTGACAGGCGCACAATGTGATAGTCCCCTAGCTGACAGGCGCACAATGTGATAGTCCCCTAGCTGACAGGCGCACAATGTGATAGTCCCCTAGCTGACAGGCGCACAATGTGATAGTCCCCTAGCTGACAGGCGCACAATGTGATAGTCCCCTAGCTGACAGGCGCACAATGTGATAGTCCCCTAGCTGACAGGCGCACAATGTGATAGTCCCCTAGCTGACAGGCGCACAATGTGATAGTCCCCTAGCTGACAGGCGCACAATGTGATAGTCCCCTAGCTGACAGGCGCACAATGTGATAGTCCCCTAGCTGACAGGCGCACAATGTGATAGTCCCCTAGCTGACAGGCGCACAATGTGATAGTCCCCTAGCTGACAGGCGCACAATGTTGGTGCTACTTTTGAGAATCCTCAAAAGGCGGATTGGAAGGACAGTAACACCAACATCAGAGGACCAGTTCCCCAGCTGACACGGCACATACTGGACTGGAAAAGGGGGGCACACCTGGTCTAGCGCGGAGGCGTGGTTCCTGTTGAGCACAGCATTGACCTCCGCATGACACACGTAGCTGGTGAGGCGCATGGGGGATGGGGCGATGGGCGATTGCGGACATGAGGGATGGGATATGAGGGTGACCGATAAAGAGCAAAGGAGGGGGTGCAGGGAGAGGTGTGCAGAGGGTAGTGAGAGGCACATGGGCTGGGCTGAACGAAGGGAAGAGGTTAGAGATACTGTGAGCGGCAGGAGGCAAGCACTCACGGGTACTTGGTTTCGAGTGGGTCGTTGTGTGCTGAGAGCTGCACGTGCAGGGAGAGAGAGAGAGAGAAGCAGGCACAGAGAGAGGGACGGAGATGAGAGATAGAGACAGGGGGACACAGGACAGAGTCTGACCAGATTTGAACATGACAACCGAAAGCATGATATGATAATCTCCTAACTGGGCCCACAGCCCACCATGCCCCACCGTGCCCCACCGTGCCCCACCTTGGCCCAGGGCAGAAGGTCATCTGAGATGCCCCGGGGAAAGCCGTTGTACCCAATACCTGCCGGTGGGAGAGGAGAGCAAGAGAAAGGTGAGAGGGGAGGAGGATAGATTTGCAACTTTAGGGAAGTGGAGGGAGAGAAACGATTTGAAAGCGTGAAGTGTGTTGGGGGCAGGAATGGGAGGAGAGGCAGTGATAATGTGAGCATGTGGTGCCGAAGTTAAGTGACTGGCTCATTTGTGTGGTGCTCAGCTCACCCAGAATGACATGGTCGCTGCCGACAATGCATGCTCCAACCTGCACGCACGTATGGGCAATGCAGCCATGCACACATGTGCTGTGAGGCCGGATGCACACATGTGCTGTGAGGCCGGATGCACACATGTGCTGTGAGGCCGGATGCACACATGTGCTGTGAGAACGGATGCGCAGACAGATTTTCAACTTATGTCTGATGAGATAAAACCTGTCTGTTGAAATCACCTGTCTGTTAGATTCACCTGTCCCTTAAAATCACCTGTCTGTTAGATTCACCTGTCTCTTAGAACCACGTGTCTGTTGGAATCACCTGTCTGTTGGAATCACCTGTGTGTTGAATTCACCTGTCTGTTGGGGTCCTTGGATCGTTGAGCAGAGAGGAATGCCACAGCCATGAAGTAATCATCCCATGACAAAAACCTGCCATGCCATGCCATGCCATGCCATGCCATGCCATGTCATGCGTGCCGTTCAATGCCATGCCGCCGTGCCAAGCCATGATTCAGGCGGGATAGGAAACGCCAAATGCAATGTCACAAGGATGCTTCATCCATGGACCGTCGCCATTCACCCTGAAACGTCTGAAGCACGACGTGTGGGCACAATGTACAACACCACCTGCGCAGCAAGTCGCACACCACACTCCACCACGCACCACCACGCACC